TCCCTTACCCCTTAACCCCTTCAGGACGGAGTCAATAGTACACGTTCTGATCAAAACAAAATGTAAACAAAAACTGGAATTTGCGCTATATGTCTGTTCAACCATAATTCACCTCTTTCATATTATATGCACCCACACTTATTATATATCATTTTGTTCAGGAGAAACAAGGCTTTAATCCTATATCAAATATTTATATATGAAACATACCCCATTTGCAATACCTTAGGTTGTCTACTTTTGCAAATGGTATGTCATCCTGGGGGTAATTCTTATTCCTAGGCTACCATACGGTCTCAAAAGGCAACATAACCAATGCGGCAAATTTCAATGTGAAAAAAAATGAAATGCAAGCCTTATATTTGACTCTCTAACTTTCCAAAACACCATAAAACCTGTAAGTGGGGGGTACTGTTTTACTCAGGAGACTTCGCTGAACACAAATATTAGTGTTTCAAAATGGTAACTTGTATTACAACAATAATATCATAGTTCATGTGTGAAAAATACCAAAATCCTAACTTTTACTAAAAATATAATTTTTACTAAAAATATCATTGTTGTAATACAAGTTATCATTTTGAAACACTAATATTTGTGTTCAGCGAAGTCTCCAGAGTAAAACAGTACCCCCCATGTACAGGTTTTATGGTGTCTTGGAAAGTTACAGGGTTAAATATAGTGCTTGCAATTCAAATTCTCTGCACTTTTTGCCTGGGTTGTCAGACATGTCAATCAAATTTTAACTAATTAATTTACATAATTATGTTAAAATATTACTTAAATATACACGTAGAATTTTAATATATATATGTATTTAAAGTCTACGTGTACACTTATCTACTTAATTATGTAATTATATATATTTATCTGTGTGTGTGTATGTGTGTGTATGTGTGTGTGTGTGTGTATGTGTATATATATATATATATATATATATATATATATATATATATATATATATTTGCAGTTATTTGTAGATATAGAATGTCATTCTAAGTGTATTTTGTTACCAATATATATATTAATAACAAAATACAGTTAGAATGAAATTACATATGTATATATAATTTTTTTTTTTATATTTTATTTATTTTATTATTTTATTTATTATTGTAATTATACGTGTATATACAAACATAGAAACATAGAATGTGACGGCAGATAAGAACCATTCGGCCCATCTAGTCTGCCCAATTTTCTAAATACTTTCATTAGTCCCTGGCCTTATCTTATAGTTAGGATAGCCTTATGCCTATCCCACGCATGCTTAAACTCCTTTACTGTGTTAACCTCTACCACTTCAGCTGGAAGGCTATTCCATGCATCCACTACCCTCTCAGTAAAGTAATACTTCCTGATATTATTTTGAAACCTTTGCCCCTCTAATTTAAGACTATGTCCTCTTGTTGTGGTAGTTTTTCTTCTTTTAAATATAGTCTCCTCCTTTACTGTGTTGATTCCCTTTATATATTTAAATGTTTCTATCATATCCCCTCTGTCTCGTCTTTCCTCCAAGCTATACATGTTAAGATCCTTTAACCTTTCCTGGTATGTTTTATCCCGCAATCCATGAACCAGTTTAGTAGCCCTTCTCTGAACCCTCTCTAAGGTATCAATATCCTTCTGAAGATACGGTCTCCAGTACTGTGTACAATACTTCAAGTGAGGTCTCACCAGTGTTCTGTACAATAGCATGAGCACTTCCCTCTTTCTACTGCTAATACCTCTTCCTATACAACCAAGCATTCTGCTAGCATTTCCTGCTGCTCTATTACATTGTCTGCCTACCTTTAAGTCATCAGAAATAATCACTGCTAAATCCCTTTCCTCATATGTTAAGGTTAGGACTCTATCAAATATTCTGTACTCTGCCCTTGGGTTTTTACGTCCAAGATGCATTATCTTGCACTTATCCACATTAAATGTCAGTTGCCACAATTCTGACCATTTTTCTAGTTTACCTAAATCATTTGTCATTTGGCTTATCACTCCTGGAACATCAACCCTGTTACATATCTTAGTATCATCAGCAAAAGACATACCTTACCATCAAGACCTTCTGCAATATCACTAATAAAAATATTAAAGAGAATGGGTCCAAGTACAGATCCCTGAGGTACCCCACTGGTGACAAGTCCAAGCTTCGAATATATTTCATTAACTACAACCCTTTGTTGCTTGTCACTCAGCCACTGCCTTACCCATTCAACAATATTTGAATCCAAACTTAAAGATTGCAGTTTATTGATAAGCCTTCTATGTGCAACAGTGTCAAAAGCCTTACTGAAATCTAGGTAAGCAATGTCTACTGCACCACCTTGATCTATAATTTCAGTTACCCAATCAAAAAAAATCAATAAGATTAGTTTGGCATGATCTCCCGGGAGTAAACCCATGTTGTCTCTCATCTTGAAATCCATGTGTTTTTAGATGTTCATCAATCCTATCCTTTAACATGGTTTCCATCACTTTCCCCACTACTGAAGTAAGGCTTACTGGCCTATAGTTGCCCGACTCCTCCCTATTACCTTTCTTGTAACTGGGCACAACATTCGCTAACTTGCAATCTTCTGGGACTACTCCTGTTAACAATGATTGGTTAAATAAATCTGTCAATGGTTTTGCTAGAACACCACTAAGCTCTTTTAATAGCTTTGGGTGTATTCCATCAGGTCCCATTGACTTATTTGTCTTTACGTTTGACAGTTGAAATAGAACCTCTTCCTCTGTAAACTCACGTGTAATAAATGACTCATTTATCCTTTTTCATCTGTAAATACAGAACAAAAATATTAATTGAGGCAGTCAGCTAGACCTTTATCCTCTTCTACATACCTTCCTTCTTTTGTTTTTAATCTAATTAATCCTTGTTTTACTTTTCTTTTCTCATTTATGTATCTAAAAAATGTTTTATCCCCCTTTTTTACTGACTGTGCTATTTTCTCTTCTGTGTGTGATTTGGAAGCTCTTGTAACTTGCTTAGCCTCTTTCTGCCTAATCTTATAGATCATTTTGTCTTCCTCACTCTGGTTTTTTTTATAATTCCTAAATGCTAATATTAATATATGTGCTTTATATATATATATATATATATATATATATATATATATATATATATATATATATATATATATATATATATATACACACATTTAATTTATTTTAAACATGTTTAATTTTTTTTTTACCCTTCCCACCAGCAGGGAGACTGTCTGACATTTCAGACAGTCCCCCTGCTGGCAGATCCACAGCCAGCTATAGGGACCATGTGATCGCTCTTTGAGAGCGATCACATGGCCCCAGGGGGCCTCATTTGCCGTGGGAGGGCTGCATGGGCTGTCAGGCAGCCCTCCAGAAGAGGATCGCAGTGGAGGTAAGTACCTCACCTCCGATCTCCTGGGGGCTTCAGCCGTTACGGCGTTCTATGCCGCCGCAACGGCTTTAAAGCCCATTTAATGCGGGGCGGCATAGAATGCCATAACGGCGTTAAGGGGTGTAGGGTAACATCATGTAAATGCCTCTATCAAAACAATTAGACAATAATCTCTTATTCCATTTCTTATGCTTTAGTGTTTTGTCACTGGCCTCTTGTATCAATAAAAAAGCAATCTGTTATTTAAGGTTGACTCACTGGATAGAGTTTTATAAGAACAAGAATTTACCTCAAAGTAAGAAAGGCCTATTTGAACGAGGTAGGGTTACCACTAAAGAACCCCAAAACTCTAAAATATTAGTTAGCTGTTATCAGGTACTGTAGATGGAAGTACAAAGGAAATGTTCTAACTTACATTATTCTTCAATTTAACTTGTGTAACACATCCCATAAATAAGTAATGCAAAAATATTTTTTGCACCACTGCAAGCCTTGACAATTTACCAAAATATTGAGTTATTTAGGTACCTTGCACAAACCAAAGGTAAATTTGTAATTGTTCATGGGCTGGTGCAGTCTTAGTACTGAATAGTGATGTCGCGAACCCGAAATTTTCAGTTCGCGAACGGCGAACGCGAACTTCCGCAAATGTTCGCGAACCGGGCGAACCGCCATAGACTTCAATGGGCAGGCGAATTTTAAAACACACAGGGACTCTTTCTGGCCACAATGGGGATGGAAAAGTTGTTTCAAGGGGACTAACACCTGGACTGTGGCATGCCGGAGGGGGATCCATGGCAAAACTCCCATGGAAAATTACACAGTTGATACAGAGTCTGGTTTTTAATCCATAAAGGGCAGAAATCACCTAACATTCCTAAATCACAATCAATATGGATTGACACCTGACATATGACATATTGACACCTTGACATATGGATTGACACCCGTCCTCAGAGCCCCTGATGCACACGGACACAGAGCAGAATAGAGACTGGTCCCCCTACATAGGGTCACTTGGCAGATATGGATTGACACCTGTCCTAAGGATCCCTGATACACACTGACACAGAGCAGAATAGGGACTGTTCCCCCTACATTGGGTCACTTGGCAGATATGGATAGACACCTGTCCTAAGGTTCCCTTGATACACACTGACACACAGAGCAGAATAGGGACTGGTCCCCCTACATAGGTCACTCTTGGCAGATATGTATTTTCTGACACCTTGTTACAAACTGCTATTTGTAACGGGCCCTTTAAATGGCAATTGCCCTGCTTCCCTGGTTGTGGGAGAAGCCTATTTGCTAGCCTCCTTCCACATGACTATGGCCCCTTGGAGATTGTGAGAACTTATGCACCTTTATTGAGTGTGTATGGCCCTTTAAGACAGCCAGTGGGCATATTGGGGCTTATGGACTCTTTATGGGACTGGTGCTGGCCCTTTAAACACCTTTTGGGACATCAGGAAGATTGGGACACTGCCCCTTTAAGACGGTGTCCCCAGACTTGTTTGGGACACTGCCCCTTTAAGACGGTGTCCCCTGTGTCCCCAGACCTGGTGCAAAACCTTTGTGCCTGCCTTGCTATTTCCCACTTGGTTCAGTAAATGGGAAATTATTTCAGCTGCAGAGACTAAGTCCCATTCGCGATGGGACTTAGTCGTTTTTTCAGCCTGAAATAGACTGACCTCACAGCCCAAATCTATGGAACTGTTTTGGGCAGGAAAATGTGCTTGCGGTCGGTCATAAAGGGACCTCCAGCTAACTTTTTAACCCCTGATGGATTTGGCTGATTTTTGGTTATGTTTATGTTTTAAGTGTGCTGATTCCAAATATGTAATTATGAAGATGGGATGTGTAGTTTTAAAGTTACAGGGTATGGCTAAAAACTGTATTTTTACTGCCTGTGCTTAATTATGTTAATCTCTTCCCAAACGTCATTTTGTTCAAAGTGGAGAGAATGTTAAAAAAATATATTTTTGTTCGGAGTGTGAGAAATGCTTTTCAGCCGCTTCTAATCTTAAGCATCATTTGAGGAGCCTTACAGGAGAGAAACCTTATTAGTGGTGTGTTTAGTATTGTTCTGATCAGTTTAATACCTTCCGCGTCTCCTATCAGTGGACGTGTATATGGCAGCCATTTTAGGAACCGTACACCTGGGACCCGAGCAAGGTCATCTCGTTCAACAGGCTTGCAGCGCATCCTCCAGGAAGAAGAGCCTGAACCCTTACCGGCTGCACGTGTCTTACCTGTACATGGAAAGCTGCTCTGGTTCCTTGATGAGCCAGCTGCCTGTGAGTTAACATGTCCCGTGGAGAAGCACTCTGTCCTGTAAAGCCTCACCAAAAAAAAAGGAGTGGTGTGTTTAGTATTGTTCTGATCAGTTTAATACCTTCCGCGTCTCCTATCAGTGGACGTGTACACGGCATTGATTTTTATCTAAGCCGTAAACTTTTGCACAGCGAAGCATATTCACTGCCATTGAAAAGGAGTGCATGGCGGTGGTGTGGGCCCTCAAAAAGCTGCAACCTACTTGTATGGACAAATCACATCTTTACTCAGATCACATTTTAAATTTGGGCACCGCGCGGTCAAGCTAATGTGACACCAGATAGAGTGGTGTGTTTAGTATTGTTCTGATCAGTTTAATACCTTCCGCGTCTCCCATCAGTGGACGTGTATATGGCAGCCATTTTAGGAACCGTACACCTGGGACCCGAGCAAGGTCACCTCGTTCAACAGGCTTGCAGCATATCCTCCAGGAAGAAGAGCCTGAACCCTTACCGGCTGCACGTGTCTTACCTGTACATGGAAAGTTGCTGTGGTTCCTTGATGAGCCAGCTGCCCGTGAGTTAACATGTCCCGTGGAGAAGCACTCTGTCCTGTAAAGCCTCACCAAAAAAAAGGAGTGGTGTGTTTGGTATTGTTCTGATCAGTTTAATACCTTCCGCGTCTCCTATCAGTGGACGTGTACACGGCATTGATTTTTGTAACAGGGAGATGGAAGAAGGGGCTTGGTCGGGTCCTCTTACTGCAAATTTGGGGTACTGCGCGGTCAAGCTAATGTGACACCAGATAGGAGTGGTGTGTTTAGTACTATTTTTAT